ACACAGGCCCATGAGAATTTTCATAATGAGGCAAAAACATGGGAGAAGGAGGAACAGGGGTTTGGATAATTTCCCAAGCACCTTTTTTGGCAGGCGGCATACCCCCATCCTCACAACTCATCTCATCACCAATGTTCCCAGCAGCCGTGTTGTTGACTGGGGAATCGTAATATGACACATTTCTTTTATCATGCTCTCTGGCCATAGATTCAATAAGCAGCTCAGTATGATTCCCTTCGTCACTGTCCTCCTCTTCCTCATTCTCAGACACAACAGCTAATCTCTGATAATTCTTATCATAATTCTGCGATGACTGATTCCCCACCATAGATGCATCAGTATCCCCTTGTTCCATAGAGGAAGCTGGGCATGAGTCCACCCTAGCTCTTTTTGGGACTGATGGGGATGCACCACTGTCAACAGCAATGGAGGTTTGATTTTTCTCTCCCCCAACAGATACCACCTTCTCAACCTCATAGAAAAAATCATAGAATTGTTCACCTAACATCCCTTCAGTGGAAGGAGGAATTTTCTTAACCTCTCTGCATCCAAGTAATATCCTGGCATACTCAGGTTTGTGTAATGTTGCCTCATCCACTTCCAAAGTAATACCAACCAGCCCCCCAGCATATGCAACATGCTCCGGGCATCTTTTTTCCGGTGGAACATTTCAAACACGAACCCATGCTTTTTCCATACTCCCTTTAGCCCCCACAGATGCAGACCATGGAGTAATGCACACAATGATAGAACCATCCTTCAAAGGAAGACGTTTACCATAGCAACATGCTCTTTCTACTTCACTGGCATTCGGGAACCGCATGACAAATTGAGTTGGACTAATGGAACGAGCAGTACAGCGCCATTTTTTCTTGCCAGGTTTATGAGCAAAAATGCAGTTGAATTCATGTTCTATCTCTTTCACAGTAGCAGCCCCCTCTATGACCGTGATAACTACATTATTAGTTTTCTCAGAACTTTGTTTAGCAGCACACAAATCAGAAATATAGAAGAAGCCCTGGCCGGGTGATTGAAACCCGCACAGCATAGGAACACACTCCCACGGCCTGAGTGATTGGCACAACTGAGCCATATGACCAAGCTTGTTGCATTTCTCGCAACGAATAGTAGGGCAACGTGGAGTGAAATGACCTGAGTTGTTGCAGTTGAGGCATCGCTCCTCGGAGCTCTTGGTGGCCGGAGTTGTGGTCGAATCAGCAGCAGGGGGAGGATTCGCATCCTTGGGGGCCGCCATCTTCTGAGTCTCCCACTCCTTGGCCCCTCCTCCCATCGCCCGCGCCGCCGCCTCCCACTTGTCGCCAACCCCGCCGCCCACGGATCTGGAACTCCCGGCCGCGGCCGAAGATAGATCTGGCCGCTGCCACACCATGTTGCGCGTCTTGTTGGGTGGCGGTGGTCGACGTCCACCCCCGAACCCACCACGGCCAGCGAAGTCGCGCTGCCCTCCAAATCGCCCCCCGCCTTGATCCCCCATCGCCTTGGACGGATCGAGACGGATCTTCGAGCCCTCTGCGACTTGCGCAAAGGAGCGGTCGTCGCCGCCGACCTTGCCACGCCACCAGCCGAAGGAATCACGCGGCGGAGGTGGGGAAGAGGAGGAATCCCTAGATCTCTCCCACAGGTGCCCGAAGAGATAGGCGAGATGCGAGTCGGATCTGGTAGGAGTGGTGGTAGGTGGGGAATTGGGTGTGCCCGCGCCCCTCGGTGTCCATTAAGTACCTCGACGCCATTGCTGGGCCCCGCATGGCGGTGGGGCGGCCATGGATCTGATCCGGCAGCTCTCCCCGCGCCAGATGTCGCGCATCCAGCCGCTGCATGCCGCTCCTCCGTGCGCTGTGTACCAGGCCCCGCATGCAACGGGGGCGCGCACGGCGACTGAATGCGCTGTCCAACCCTAGCCACATGACACGGAAACGAGATCGCCTGATCGAACTCGATGCGTTCGCCCTCGCGCATGTACCGCGCATCCACCATCACGCCTCGCTTGTCAAGCAGCACCATCCGGAGCGCGCCATGGCGAAGGAGGATCTCGCCGTCGTTGGCGGTGAGCGTGCGCGCCGTGATGAAGTCAGGACGAACATGGCGCGCCATCGCGTGTCCATCGCGTGTCCAACAGTTTGGCCGGCATGAAGCCGCCTGCCGGCCAGCACCGCTCGTGGCATAATGCGTGAATTTCTGTTAGTCGATGTGTTTAAGTTTGTAGTGCTAGCTAGCTAGCTATGTGGTCGTCGCCTTCCTCCATCATTCGTGGGTCAGTGATTTACTTTTGTACTCCCTCCATCCCATAATGTAAGACACTTTTTGACAGTACACTAGTGTAAATAAACATCTTACATTATGGGGTAGATCGCAGTCGTCGGACTACAAGCGCTCCCGAGTTCCAGAAAGATTTTGCCGCCGAGTCAAAGGCCCAGAGGCGGCATCGAGCTATGTTGATGGCGTGTCACTGGTGGATACGGGAGGAAGAAGACTTCAGCACACCCAAATATTTGAATGTAATGTTATATTTATGTATGGGTGTGTTTGTAAGGATCTGTGATACTAATTTTTCAGACAACAAGGATCTGTGATACTATTTGTGATGTTAGCTGCTGAATGATAGAAGTAGCATCTATCAGGTGTAAAGGTGTGTTGGCAGCATACAAGACTTGTGAATAAAATTTGCAGTATGAATCACGCAATGAACAACTCAGCTTTAGCAAACACGAGAGTTCTCATGCAATCTAGCAAATACGTTTACATTACCATTTTCAGTACAAGATATATTGTGAGTTCGAGCCTAGGCAGCGAGCGCATATTCTGTTCGGTTGCTCTCTCTCCCAAGTTTCTGAACCTGAATTAACCTTGCACGTGAGATGGGATGTGATTCGGTGATATTCGCCTCCGATTGCCTCTCTTTGGTGCAGAGAATCAATTCCCATGTTCGCGATCGTTCACTCGTTGGTGCTATGGTCTCCGAGATCAAAGATGGCATGTCGAATATTCTTTTTTCTCGGGTCAAGTCTATTCATCGGCAGTCCAATGTTTTGACTTCTACTTTCCCTGTTTCCATCTAGCTCAGATCACCAAGCTTGGGACCCCTACCCGAGGTCTGCCGGTAGCACCGACACCTGGACAGTGGCAAGGTCGACTTCTGATTCAATCCTGGCCTGCAATGGCATGAGTGGTTCTTTTTTAGGTTTTTTTTTCTTTAGGGAGTCTTTGAGTTTGTCTTGGCTTAGCGAGACAGCGACACTGTCCACATCTAGGAATAATGTTCTCACCGCTCTTTTCCCGGCCCGTTGGTGTGTTTACCACTAGCGAAGGGCGTGTTGAGTCATGTCTCCGGCGGGTCTTTTGAGATCCGGTTGGTTTAGGTTATCGGTGAATTCGTCTGGATTTGGTCGGTGTTCGTGGTATTCGGAGTTTCTATAGGCCCTTATTGGTGTTTTCTCCTCTGGGTCAGTGATTTACTTTTGTACTCCCTGCATCCCATAATGTAAGACACTTTTTGATAGTACACTAGTGTAAATAAACATCTTACATTATGGGGTGAAGGGAGTAGATCGCAGTCGTCGGACTACAAGCGCTCCCGAGTTCTAGAAAGATTTTGCCGCCGAGTCGGAGGCCCAGAGGCGGCATCGAGCTATGTTGATGGCGTGTCACCGGTGGATACGGGAGGAAGAAGACTTCAGCACACTCAAATATTTGAATGTAATGTTATATTTATGTATGGGTATGTTTGTAAGGATCTGTGATACTATTTTTTCAGACAACAAGGATCTGTGATACTATTTGTGATCTATCAGGTGTAAAGGTGTGTTGGCAGCATACAAGACTTGTGAACAAAATTTGCAGTATGAATCACGCAATGAACAAGTCAGCTTTAGCAAACACGAGAGTTCTCATTCAATCTAGCAAATGCGTTTACATTATCATTTTCAGTACAAGATATATTGTGAGTTCTAGCCTAGGCAGCCAATGCATATTCTGCTCCGTTGCTCTCTCTCCCAAGTTTCTGAAAAAACAAAGCCAGAGAAAAGACATTCCCTTTTTCTGAATTTTGCATTCCAAACAACATGAACTGCTGCTGCAATCAACAAGAGGAGCTCATCACTTCATCTAAACAATAGCTACGTTGACGTGCTCATCTATTGAACGACGGGGTTGTGGTCGCGGCCGTCGTCGTCGTCGGGAAGTGGTGGTCGCGCCTTCATTCAGAGTTTGGTGGTCGCCCATACTGTCGCCCATCAAGATGAATCACTGTGCCAGGCTGCTGATGTGACGGCCATGGACATGGATCCCAGTCCGAGGCTGCAGTTACGACGGCCATCCACACGGCATGCTATCGGCCCCGTCGTAGTAACCACTAACCACCTGTGTAGATTCGCATCCGGTCGTGGATGGCAATGGGATTGGAGGGACCAAGAGGCCGTGGCCGCCGGTGGGAAGAGAGAGGATTTGGGAGTAATCGGCTGGGAACTTTCTTGGAATAATTGCACATTTTGTAGCAGTGAATTCATATATGGATGTATGAGTTAGTCTTTAATTAATCCTTTTGTAGCTCACATAATAAAATATTTTCTAACGAAATTGTATAGACGAGACATAACCACATGTAGAAAAGAACATTTTTCAGAATATGTTGCTACTTCTGAATATATATTTTTTGATTTTTTTTTCAAAATTCCGGACTCGCTCGCCTAATCTGTATTTAGGTCCGTGTGAGACTAGGCCAACTCCATGTGAATGTGCTGCTTCGCCCATGATGAAAACTTATCAATCATCATTAAGTAGGTACAGAGTACATGGCATATGTGGTAAGCCGTCTTAGAAAGAATTTAATGTTGGTACAGTAATACAGGTTGCAGGTAAGGTATGACGAGCAATTAACAACCAAGTAAAGCCATTCATGGAACTCGCGCTCCTTCCATCCCTATATATATCGCACATACGGAGACGGGAGCCAATGCAATTTACAACCAAGTATATAGCCAATCATGGAAGCAACAATAGTGAACGTAGCCACTCCGCCAAGCCGTCTGCTCTCTGTCCGTGTGTCGCCAGAGACGGAATCTGCTGACAATTCCACGGCGGAGGACCCCATGAGCCCTACCGGAAGAGTCTTCGAGGAGATGGGCGTCTATATCGTCGTCGTGATGGGGCTTTGCACGCCGGTGAACCTGCCCGTCTTCCGCGCAGGCATCGAAACAGAACTGGTTACCCGGTTCCCGCGCTTCCGCAGCATTCAAGTAATTTTAAGAACTTCGTTTGTTTCATTTTTATACATGTGCCTGATATCATATAGGCCAGAGTACGTTTGGTTGGAATTTTGTTTTGTTTATTTTTGAATTGTTTAAACCAACTTGGTTGGAGTTGACACCTAATGGCATCTCCAATAGTTTGTGGGTTGACTTGTATAAAAAAATTCAGATATCCATATTATATACCAACAATATTACATACTATGCGGCGATGTCATTAATATGGTTGTATGTTTTATTCTTCCCATTTTGACCTCGACCTCAAATGTCCAATACTTTATTAACACGTGGATGCCCAGGTGACGGATGGGTCCAAGGATGGAAAGCCGCGCTGGGTGCAAACGGTGGTAAATGTGGACGACCACATCATCATCCCGAGGCTAGATCTTGCCGCCGTGGACTCTAACCCAGAAAAGGCCATGGAGGATTACGTGGCGTCTCTATCCCTGCTCCCGATGGACAGGCGCCGTCCTCTCTGGGAGTTCCACTTTCTTGACTTCCCGACTTCGGAGGCGGCCTCCACGACGGTGCTCCGCCTGCACCACTCCATCGGCGACGGCATGTCGATCATGACTCTCCTCATGGCGTCGTCGCGCAGCACGGCCGACCCGGCGAGAATGCCAGCCATGCCGCCGCCATCCAAACGCACCGGCGCCATCTATCAGCGGTGTCCACAGCCTCCGCGGCTTTTGTCAGGCGATTATCTTGCGTGGCTTTGGTCGTACTTTGTGCTAGCATGGCACACGCTGGTGGACATGGTGTTGCTTGCTGCGACCGTATTGTTCTTGAGAGATCCAAGCACGATGTTCACGCTTGTGCCAAACCCAGATGGCGGCCAGCCTCGCCGCTGCAAGCGCTTGGTGCACCAGAGCCTTAGGGTCGACGATGTCAAGCTCATCAAGACTGTCATGAACTGCGTAACTAAACCCATTTAAACTTTCTAATGATCAACTAAATACTGCTGAAAACAGACTTCTTGATTTGACTCAATGACACTTTTGTCTTTTTCGTTTTTGCAGACTATGAATGACGTGCTAGTTGGTGTGACTTCAGCAGCTCTTTCACGGTACTACTTCAGGAAATCCTGTAAGTGACATGCCTGACAATGACTATGAATGTGTACTCTGTGGACATGTAATCTAGGCATATTGCTTTCTTGTCTTCGATATTAGGTGACATCAACAATAAGAGAATCTGCTTGCGATCAATCCTCCCTGTCAACACAAGGCCAGTCTCCAGCCGACAAGTAAGAACTTTCCTTTAACAAATATGAAAGAAATATAAATTAAATGACACACAAACATTATAACATGCCCTTTTTTTTGTAGAAATAAAAATTAATTTAGTTTTTTTCTTTGCAACTATGAACAGACATATGTTACCAAGGTAGAGACCGGGAATCGAATTAGCAACATCATCTGTCCATTTTATATAGCCTTGCACAATGATCCCCTTGAGTATGTTCGCACCGCAAAAAGGTCTATGCATAGGAAAAAGAGCTCTTTAGAGGTGATGTTCACACAAATGACTGTTGATTTCTTGGTGAAATACTTTGGTGCAAAGGTATATATATTTTCTGCTCTTTTTTTTTACTTTATATGTCCTCTCCAGGATTGCATTGCACAAATGCTAAATAAGAGCATTGTGTCTATTTATTCATGTTTATAATTATGTTGTAACTTGTCAATGAACGCAGGCAGGAGCTTTCATCTTCCGCTGCTTTGTCACACGTACAACCGCAATCTTATCAAATGTCGTAGGACCAGCTGAGCATATAACGTTATTTGGGCACCCAATTGCCTTCATGGCAATTAGCGTCTACGGTTTACCACAAGTAAGTCACCTACGTTCTTAAATCCAAGACAAATATCATTTGGTTTTGAAAAAGTTCATCACAGGCCACTACATAATCCATGGTATAAAGATGTGTCGCTCCCATTTAGTAACTTCTGACCAATATACTTCTTTGCCATAAATCTCCACACACACACACACACACACACACACACACACACACACACACACACACACACACACACACTACTGAGCTAAATCTAGTATATTTTTATTTTTGGAACAAGTCATTGTTTTTGGAGTGAGGCAGTTTGGCTCCAAGCACCATAGTGCTCGATATTAAAAAAAATAGATTTATATGTTAATTTTTGTATGGATACATACAGATGTTATCTATTTATCCATAAAATTTCATTAAATAATAATTTAATTTGTGGGTCACACAAAAGAATAAAATGTGGCTAAAATGAAAGAAAATGTAAATCCATATTGATCCTTGTATTTGTATTTTATGTGTACCCCACGTACGGAAGGATATATTGATGAAAATCCATACCCTCGTACTACACAGCTATAGGTGCATGTACAATTTTTTTGAATTTTTTGTGGTATGAAAAGAATGTTTTCGTTTGTTTCAAAAAAGTTGTACAGTCCAGGCTCCATTTTGACTTTTTGTTGTTTTTGTCTCTACTGTTGCTTTCGTTTTCTGCAGACAAGTCAGTGTTGTTGCCAAAGTTAATTGGTTGTGTTTGCTTGTTGGCGTATGCGGCCCTCAAACTCTCAATGCCTCCCCGGTGTTTATAGCATCCATGTAATGAGTGCACACAAGTGTGTTTATTGTAAGGTCTAGTTCTTTTGGCCGATTCTCCTAGAATCGTTAGAATCGGACTGCCCCCCAGCTTCTCCTAGAATCTTGAACCCATTGTTTTTACAATCCTAGCTAGTTAAACCGGTAGGATTGTCAAACGGGTCAACTATTGAACCTTCACTAAGAAAAAAGAAGACATAGTAAGCCCCAACTCTGTGCATACTTTCTATGTTTTCTTAGAACTATCATCAGGGGACGGAGAGGCTTCCCACATAATTTGTATTTCAAAATATAATTTTACAAAGTCACATTGTCTGTGAGGAGAGGTAATCATGACATATTCCGACGTGAACATTATATCCCGGGATTTAAAGCCTTTGTGACCAAACCATCTGGTAGCTACGTTAAGATTTATGTTGCAAAGCCCTTCCGAAGATCGAGCATCCTAGCTAGATCATGGACAAGGAGGTGGATAAAGAACAAAAACATATCATTGAACTGAGTTCAGGAAAAAGTCGTTGAACTGTTTGAAGATGGGACGGATACTAATTGCTCTACAGAAATGGTAACAACCCGCAACGGAGATCTAAGAGATTCAAGCTCATAGGCAGCAGCCAGTTAGTCTATTGTGAGCCAAGTTTGATCCCTTCTTGTAAAACCTGCGAAACCAGGGGAATTTTGGGTGGAGGTGTTGAGTCAAAAGTGTTGGTAATGCAGAGTAAACCTTA